TGTTTTACTTTTATTGTCATCTAACTGTAAGTCTCAAATTTACTAGTTTTAATTTCTCAAACTAAGTTGATGTAGGTCAAGTGGGCAAAAGTTAGCGCCTCCTTCCACTTCAAACCCTCTTCCATTTAAAAGTTGGCAACTATAAGGCTGAACTCTTTTGTCTGGCACTCAATTCAGCAGTACGATGGTCAGACAATTCCGATATTCCGGCATATTTTGAATGTGCAGCTATTTGTATGTGGATCTGCTGCTACAGTTACTTAATTAAGTTGCAAACTACGATTTAAATTATACTTTAGCAGTTTTTAAACCTATATATATATATATATATATATATATATATATATATATATATTTGAATAAAAACAGACCAATTTTAAGGTTCCATAAAGTGGTCTGTTTTTATTCAAACATATACATGGAACCTTAAAGTGGTCTGTTTTTATTCAAACATATTTGCTCTGAATTTACATTGAGCTCTCTGGATATCATCCTCCTTGGGTCGACCCATACGGATAACCTAGTTTTGCATAAACTAAATAAATAAATAAATATATATATATATATATATATATATATACACGTTTCATTAAATAATATAGACAAGTGCTGTCTATTTATTCTATGTAAGTTCTTTTCATAACGTCTAATAAGTTTAATGACATTATCATTGAATGAAGAAAGAAATTCACAATATTGATCCATATTTTTTTACATAAAATAGACAACACTTGTCTATATTATTTAATGAAACGTGTATGAATGAAAAGATGCTGCCTAAATACACACAAGATATATATATATATATATATATATATATATATATATATATATAATCTTTATACATAATATATTTATCAACTTTAGAACTTCCTGTTCTTCTCTTGTCTGTTACCCCTGCCTATAGCTTTCATTTACTCTAAAATTCGTCCCACACTCTCATACATACACTCTCACTAAATTTTATTTGTTATTCCTGGAGTTGTTTTTTTCTGTTTTCTTTTTGAATTTGTAGGTCTGATGAATTGGATCATATTTACGATTCCAATGGAATAAATTATGACCATGGAATATTAGTGTTTAAGCGTTTTTATTATATCCTTACTCTGTCCTGGACATTGAGTTCTACTTGTATTCTATCCTCTTGGATTTATTTTTTATACAAATATATATGTATGTGTATGTATGGATGTATATATATTTATATATATTTTAGATATATGATTGCATATGTATGTGTGTATTTACCACTAATATTATATATATATATATATATATATATATATATATATTCAAAAATTATAACATAAACATGTTATAACATCACTACAAAAATAGCCATTTTGTTTCAACATTTCTGGTGTCTTATCAAGTGATAGTGTTGAATGTAGAATAAAAGGTCTAAAAAGATTCAAATCAACCAAACACCCCTCAATAGGAGAAACGCTGTTACGTAAGCTACAATGACCAATCAAATTACAAGTATATGAGAATTCAAAAAACCTGATAACGAACCTTGGTTATAATAATTAATGCCTTAATGTTAATGTTAGACTAAAACAGAAATTTTAAATTTAACCTATATTAAGTTTAAAATATTATAAAATTATATATATATATATATATATATATATATATATATATGTTATTATTATTATCATAAAATATTATAATAAAACACATTGCTCTACTTTGTATTGAGCACTTTTTAAAACTTAAATGCTACGAACAGTGGAATTTTACTTCATCTGTTCTTTATCTCATTTTTATATATATATATATATATATATATATATATATATATAATATTTAACATACGTAACGGAACAAAGATCTATTTGAACTTGATTGATTGATTGATTTGTTTTTGGATGATGGGGAGATAATAATGATTTATTGATACAAGTCTTACTAGGTAACTCATAGCTGGGGAGAGAAGGGATGGATTCATTCCTTTCCCAAGGGCATTTGCGCGTAAATGAATATTTTTTCAACTGGAATTGGATTAAATATATATATATTATCTATTACATCACCTGAACATCCAAGTTTACAGACCCTGGTGTTCACATATGGTCACCCATGTAAATACTGACCAGGTTCGACGTTGCTTGACTTCGTTGATTTTATAGTAACTGGTGTTTTGACGTAATGCGGCTGTAAATAGGCTAGAAAATGAATTGAGCAAGTACACAAAGGTAGAAAGAGGCGTAAGGCAATGGCACATCTTCTCGCTAGATTTATTCAGCCTATGCAGCGAGGCGATCCGAAGAAAACTAGAAGTTCTACCAGGATTTATTATTGGTAGTTGCAGTCTTAACAGCATGAGATATGCAACACTCTGACACTGTGGAGGTGGGGACTTCATTTTGAGGGCCTTGAAGTTTGAACAGATATGCCCCCCCTCACATTCGCAACCAGCAACAATAGATTCCAGGATCCCCCTGCTATGAATAGATTTTGGCGATCACAACGAGCCCACACAACCCAATATGTGAGCTACAAATTGAAGTCAAAATCAATCATATCGGGAGTGGGGTGACGGATGAAGGAAAATGTGATACCAATATCCGAAGGTGGATTAGAATAGAGAAAGATGCCTTCCGAAAGCTAAACGAAGAATTAAGAAACGGTAAAATTTTGTTAGAAATAGAGAAAAGAGTGCTGAACTGCTGTGCACCGAAATCCGAGGATGCATTGTAATAGAGAATAATGCTTTTCAAAAACTAAACAAAGAATTAAGAAACAGGAAAATTTCATTAGAAATAAATAAAAGAGTGCTGAACTGCTATTTACCGAAATCCAAAAGGTCATTGGAATAGTGAAAGACTTTATGAAAACAGTAGACAATATAGTAAAGAAAAGCGAGAAGAAAGGACTAACCATCAATTGTAAATAAAACAGAATTTATAATCGTTAAAATGCAAACTACGAATTGAAAATATCAGGATCAAGCAACTAGAGTAATTTAACTATCTGTGAAGTGTTTTAAGAAACATTGGAAAATGTGACTCAGAAAGTCCGAAGATGTATTGGAAGAGAGAGAAAGATGCTTTCCAAAAGCCAAACAAAGTATTAAGGGAAATTTCATTAGAAATAAATAAAATTTTCCAGCAATGCTATGTTGCGAAATCCAAAGGTATATTGAAATAGAGAAAGATGCTTTCGGAAGACAAACAAAGGATTAAGAAACAAAAATGTATTGGAAGAGAGAAAGATGTTTTCTAACCTTTAAACAAAATTTTTTTTTCATTAGAAACATTAAAATTTTCCAGCAATTTTGTTGCAAAATCTTTCAAAAAAGGTATATTGAAATAGAAACAAAAGACAAACAAATTTTCAAACAAAAATGTATTGGAAAGAGTTGCAAAAGCCAAACAAAAATAATATTCTTGGGAAATTTCATTAGAAACAAATAAAATTTTCCAGCAATGCTATGATGAAATCAAAGGTATATTGAAATAGAGAAAGATGCTTTCAGAAGACAAACAAAGGATTAAGAAACAAAAAAAATGAATCAGAAACAAGAAAATGTTCTGAACTGCTATATGCTGAAATCCATAGTTATATTGGAATATGGAAAGGTACTTTCCAAATGCTAAACAAAGTATTAAGAAATAGATTTTCGTTAGAAACAAGGCAAGTGTGCTGAACTACGATGTAATATTACTCCTCGTACATCGTAATGAATGCTGAACAATTTTTTTAAGCATTTTACCCCAAGCAAGGCAGGAGTGCCACTGATTCGCGGGCGGGGGGGTTACATACAGTGAAGGTAAGAGAAAAAATTGTGTATAGAAGGAATGAGGAAAGGATAAAAGATGAACGGGGTTCAAGACATCAGAAGATGGTGATTGACGGATTTAATTTTTTGAAGATTTCAGTTATCAGGGGAGCAAGTAAACTGAAAGGACTTCCACAGACGGTAAATGCGAGAAAAGATGCTGTTGAAGTAGAAATGCTGGTTACATTTAGCTATTTTAACAGTAAAAGGGTGGGACCTAGATGCTTGTTTAGTAACACACTTAAAATTTCTTCACAGGTAAGACTTCGGGCAACAGAATGTGTTTCTACAGAAGGATACTCATAATAATGGAACATATGAACAATGGGAAAGCTTTAAAGAAAATGGAACAAAACGGACACAGAAAGAAGCAGTTGATATTTCTGGGACACATAATAAGAGAAGAGGACTTGGAAAATTTTAGACTCACGCAAGAGTAACGATACTGGATAAATATTTTTAAAATAAATTTATTTTTTAAAACTTTTTCTTTTTTAAATTTTATTATTTGGCCAGTCACTTTCTCAAAGACGTGATGTGGCTTCCCTCAGTCTTTTCTACAAATATTTTCATGGCAACTGCTTTGACGAGCCTTTTTCTCTGGTACCCCAACTGCATGAATTCAAGCGTGCTACTAGGTTGATTTCTCAGTCTCACCCTTTCACTGTCGAAACAGTTAAATGTAACTGCCTCTTCTACTCCAACAGCTTCTTCTCTCGCACTTCTTGACAGTGGAACTCCATTCCTCTTACTTGCTTTCCTGATAACTATGATCTTCAAATATTCAAATCTAATGTCAATCGACATCTTCTGATGCCTTGATCATGACCCCTGTCCTTCTCTTTATCCTTTTCTAAATCACCCCTCTTTAGTCTTACTTTCGTTCTCTGTAACACCTTGTGTGCTCGTGGCACTCTTTCCTTGCTTGGAGTTAAATGCTTTAAAAAATGTAAATAATTTAATTTACTTACAAAAGTCAGCTGGAAGACTATCATTTATACTAATTAAATATTATGGGATATTTCCTAATTTGCTGATAAAATGTTGTCTGTTTTATTGATTTAAAAAAAAAGGTAGTATTATTTTTGACATATTTACAACAAAAGGCTTTGTTATTTTTTCCACAGCTGCTATCTAAAGAAAACAAGCTTTTAATAATGTTTGTCTAAATATTGTCTATAATACATGAGTTATCTCACAATTCTCAAATACAATAGGGCCATATCACGTTGAAACAACAGTTCTCCTATGATCACCGAAGTTAAGCAATGTTGAGCCTGGTGAGTATCTAGATGACTGATCGCTTGGGAATACCAGGTGCTGTAAGCTTGGATGTGTAGGTGACATAATGGTCTTTTGGCCATATCACGTTGAAACAACAATTCTCGTACGATCACCAAAGTTAAGCAATGTCAAGCCTGGTCAGCACCTAAATGAGTAACTGCTTGGGAATACCATGTGTGGATGTGCAAGTGGTATAATGGGCTTTCAACTATATCACGTTGAAACACTGATTCTCATACCATCACTGAAGTTAAGCAACATCGAACCTGGTCAGTAGCTAGAAGGGTGACCACTTGGGAATACCAGGTGCTGTAAGATTGGATGTGCATGTGGTATAATATGCTTTTGACTATATCACGCTGAAACACCAATTCTTGTAAGATCACCGAAGTTAAGCAACATCGACCCTGATCAGTACATAGGTGGGTGACTAGAAATAGATAACGGCTCAAAATTGTAAACCAGAGAGCTGAGTTTCAATTGCAGTTAGTTTCATTATAATCACTTAAGTGCAAATGGAAAGATATGAATGCATCTTTTCCCCCTCTAGTTATGGATTAAACAGTAAGATTTGTATCAGGAAATCATTATTATCTCCAAAACATTCTAACAATATAAAATATTTTCTGGCTTTAAATAGTGCATAAAAGGTTGATAAGCCATAAAAAAATCAACAATATTGGATTTTAAGTTGCTTATAAATTCTGATAATAGAAAAATTACACTTGATTTTTATACATAGGAATAAATACAATTTTATTTGCATACAATGGTATTTGGTGTGCAATATAAATTTCTTTTTCTTTATATATAAAAAATATACATAAAACATATTAACATATATTCTTTTCATATAAGTTAAAAAGTTAGGAAGGAAATTCCCATCAATACTGGAAAGAGCAATAACAGCTACTGGACTTGAAAAACCAATTTTCCTGAAAAAATATTTCAATAGAAAGATCTTATAAATTATAAATGAAAGCAGTACTGGCTGCTGGTTCAATAAATGCTGAATGTTTCCTTATAAGGTAACAGCTACTATTATAAATTTTAACCAAAAAATTGCTTTAATAGAAATATTTTATAAAAAATAACAGAAATAAGTACTGGCTGCTCAGTCAATGAATGTCAAATGTTTCCTTATAGAGAAACAGCTATTGTTACCATTACTGTGATATGATTCTCTATTTATGTATATAAAAAACTAAAAAGCATGAATGTATATAATTTTCATGTATAATGCAACCCTCTATTTTTGCAAGTGTAAACATGATTGGATATTATATTTGTATATAATAAGATCCTCTACTTCTGCATGTGAAAACATGATTGTAGATTATTTTCATATATAAGACCATCTATTTTTGCATTTAAAAACATGATGGGATATTATTTTCATATATAATAAGATCCTCTAATTCTAAGGGTGCTGAGATTCCTATGGATTGGATATTTGTGCTTTAAGGAAAATGGAAACAAAAAGAACACTTATATAGAATCAGAAAGTCACAATTTAAATTTCTAAGGCACATAAGAGGAAAGAGGGCTTAGAGAATTGGACACTCACATGACATATTGAAGGCAAGAGGGAAAGAGGAAAGCAATGCTTAATGAGCTTCTATAAATAAATGGTTAGCAGAAAAGGGATGAGGAGAGATGATAAAAAGACAAACATTACTAAGAGCTAAAAAGACAGAAGGTTGTGGAGAACCATGATCGCCCACATCCTGAAAGGACACTGTACATCTATTTTCACATGAATGTAGAATATTTTTGTATATAATGCAAAGCTCTATTTCCATATATAAAAGCATGAATGCATATTATTTTCACGTATAATTTGACCATCTGTTTCAGTATATAAAAGCATAAATATTTATTATTTTCATTATTTCTGCTATCAGTTCTAAACTTGATCAAAGCCTAGGGACTTGATGGTACTCCTGAAATAGTCCTTAAGAAATATACTCCTGAACTGGCTCCTGTTCTCTCTAAACTCTACAATAAATGTCTTGCTGCTTCTTGCTTTGCTGCTTGTTTGAAATCATCTTCTGTAGTTTCAGTCTTTAAGAACTTAGGTGAACAATCTGTTCTTTCTATCAACCTATTACGCTTCTACCTCTTTTTGGAAAAGTTCTAGAAGTTCTAATCAACTCTGAATTGGTTAAGCATACCACCTCACAGAGTCTTCTTTCAGATAAGCAATATAGCTTTCGCTTCTCTAGGTCAATTACTGATGTATTAACGGTAAGAATCTATGAAGCTTTAGATAATAGTGAAGTGTTGCTTTTGATATATTGAAGACATTTGACAGGGTTTGGCATGCTGCTTTTCTTCACAATTTGAATAGTTATGATATTTTTGAACTGGTTCAATATTTCTTATCAAACCGCAAAATGAAAGTTGTCTTTAATGGCTACCCTTCTTGATCTTTTTCTATTAATGCAGATGTCCACCAGGACTCTATTTTTGCACCTATGTTGTTCCTAATTTTCATCAACAACCTTCCCAATGTCATCAGTTCTCAACTTGATATCTATGCTGATGACACAACTATTTACTCCTGTCTTAATAATAAATGATTTCATAAGACCAAATTGGCAACTGAATGACCTCTCTTCTCTTTCTATCTGTATTAATTCAGGCTTCCCCCTTGGATCCACGTTGTTGCTAATTTTCATCAACAACCTTCCCAATGTCATCAGTTCTCAACTTGGTATCTATGCTGGTGATACAACTATTTACTCCTGTTTTAAGGGTAAGTCTGATTGGGTTGATATGGTTAAATTGGCAGCTGATCTTAACAATGACCTACAATCTGTTGTTAACTGGGACATGAAATGGCTTGTTAACTTTAATATCTCTAAAATAAAGTTGCTCTCATTTAATTGTCTTATGGAGTTTTTCTTGCATTCCATCAGAATTTACCACGGACATAAAATGAAAAGATTATATCATATATAGGTCTGAAAAAGATTATATTGAATATAGTTCACTGTATCATGCTAGACAATTTTTCTTTCCAGAATTTATTTTACACAAAACTTCTACTTGAATTTCTGGAATGAAGAGTTATCATTATATTAATTACATTGAGACATCATTTTTCTTGTTATCTAGTGGATATTAGGGCAAGTTATTTTTGGAATTGTGATATCACAATTTGAAAGTTGGGGCTTTACATGATAAATAATGGCACAAAATATTTTTTCCAAATTCTTACCAATTTTCTGAGGAGATAACTTTAAGGATAAAGTTTAGGTTCAAAATTGTAGCATTGCATTTTTATCCCAGTGATCAGTGAAAGCCTTATAACACAGCCTTATAAAATTCATAATTTACTGAAGCTTTACATATTTTATATGGACAAGATGCATGGAACAAGCACATTATTACTAAATCATTGTGCCATCAAATAAGACACTCATTTACTTCAAATGGAAATTATTCTGAACAATTCAGCTACATTATGATGTAATATATTATACAGTGCAGTAGTTTTAGTTCCATTTTCAATAAACAATCCAAATTTAAAATATTTTGTCTTGTAATTTGTGCCCAGCAGTATTATGGTGTTATATACACTTTTATCTATTTGGTGTTTTTATTAATAAGGATCTAACAAATGGCCTAATAAATTTTATTATTTGAGTAGCCTTTAAATGTGATTTTCAAATCTTTTTGTAATCTTTTACAATTTTTTTGTTACAGTTTTTACTTATCAAATTCAGTAGAAAATTGTATAGCTTGCTTGTCGTGATTCATAATTAGAATTCTGGTTTGAATATATTTTTCATTCAATATATTTAATATAAAAAATATCAATTTTATTTGGATTTATTCTTGAAATAGTAAAATCATGAAGTCAGTTTGTAAGCAAAGAGCTGCAGAAATTAGGTATTTTGCTACATTTTTTCAGACGATATTTAAAACAAAATGCTCACATATTAGTGAAAGCTATGAATTTAATTTTTAGTGTCAATACTTATCACATCAGGCACCAGCTTTCATATTGACAGCAATGTTGATTTTCTAAAGAAAAGTGAAAAATCAACCTGCCCAAGTGGACATGTGTTCAATTCCTTGATCAGGATAGGAATAGGTATACTTGATTAGGTATACACTGGTTCAGTAGGAATAAACAATAACATATTATTGAACAAATATTCAATATCAGTCAAAGCAGTCAACACCTGATGATGACCAGAAGGTACTTGGCTGAAACTTTGCTTCTATAATAACATCAATAATAATCAAGATGAAAACAACAGTTTAAATAAATTAAAGTATTTTGGCAATTACTCATCTCAAGAAGACAATACAAAATAATCAAAAAGTCATACAAACCTGCCATGATAACCAAATGTTCAAGTCACCTGACATTGAATCAGTCGTTCACCTCTGAACCGACTGTAAAGGTTAAAGTCTCTTCCTACGGGTGGGAGGAACCCGAAGGAGGCTACGCCAAAGGGCGGAGTCTCTTTTGGGAGGAAATTTGGCCTTGAACCCGTTTATACGGGTTCAAATGGGCTATTTTTTTGGCCGAATTTAATGGCTTGGGAATTGAAAACGTTAAAAAGGTGTTGTGCCACATGACACCCTCGTGGAGGGGGTGACTGAATATCGTCACCTGACATTGAATATAAAGACTCCAAAAATACACCACCAATGTCCTTTGGAATAGTGACATAATGGATACAGGATCTGGTTGTTGTAAATTATTTCCCATCATGAAGTAATGAAAAACTTAATAACCTGGTTTATTAGAAAGGAAGAGTAAGTGGCAACACAGGGACAACAAACACATTGGACAGATATCCCATATCCCATATCCCATATCCCATATCAACTAAAACAATAAACAGATGGCCAGAAGTTATGCCAATAATAATGTCTATAATAATCAATTTGAGAGCAATATTTCTAACAAATCTAAAAAGTATACAGACTAATGTTGCCATCTTTGTTTTTATTATTACAATGTTTCAGCCATTGTGCACCCGCCCAGCCTACTTCAGGTGTCTGTCAATTCTAGTAATAAATAAAAAAGAGTTGTGATTTTTTTTCTCAGTGCTATATGAAACCAGTTCTGATTATTTAAATAAAAGTCTGTGCAATCAAATCTCCACACTTTCTTCTGCATTTGGCATTCTGTGTGTTCTATGGCTTAGTGCCATATCTTGTTGAAACCTCAGTTCCTGCATGATCACCTAGGTGGGTGATCACTTGGGAATACCAGATGATGTAATGGATAATGGCTCAGAACTGAAAAAAGGAGAGCTGAGTTCCAATCAAGTTCATTATATTCACTTATT